TTCTCTGGCTTGCTGCTGCTCTGGCTCACCTCGGGACCAAGTCACAGGCTGATTCTTCCTGACGACTATTTCAGGCTTCACATTACTTGACGCTACCAAGTGTGAGAGATCACTGGGGATTTGGTCTGGATGTTTTTGGCATGCCACTTGTTTCAGTTCTACTTTGCATGTGATTGCAGAGAGGCCGGGGAGGAACTCCAGGGAGTTAGTCTCCTGCGTCAGGGCACATATTGGCATGTAATTATGTGCAGTTATGCCAATTAATGCTTGTAGTGGACATACATGGCAGAACTAGCTTTGTGTTGATACCTGTAATTCAGTACACTTGTGCTGAGTTATCAACTCTACAACCTTAAATATGTCTTTTATTACTGGTTTGGGGAGGAAGGCGCAAGGGAGAGAGCTATATAAAGTAATATATAAACTAACAGACAGCGAAGAGCCCTTTATCAGCTCATGTTGCTTAAACATCTGTTAATTAGGGAGAAAGACTGAAAAATGCTGTCCTGGCAATTGGCTGGATCCTGAGCAGTGAATGTTGTTCAATGGACATGAGAGCTGCTGTGCATGCTCTGGATGTTGCAGAGATCTCACTGGCAGCTACCTTTGTGCTAATCAAAAATAAGATTTGAACCATTAAAACTATTTTAATCAGTAGGAGGTGCTGCTCTACTGAAGAGTGTTGCTCTTGTACGCCATTGGGTATGGTGCTGGTCAGACCGCCTTCAGCAGTGGCAGGGATAGACTGAAATAGAGTGTGCAGATGAAACTCAAGTGCTGTTGATCTGTAGTCCTGCCACGTTCAGGCTCATTGTATAGAACACCTTTTATATCCAGCCAGCTACAGTAAGAAATGCTTATTCCAGACTGTGTAATGCAGAACTGCAAGCTAATTCACCTTCTGTCATTTAAGGATAGGCCTCCTGCATCTTGTTGCCTGTCTACAAGTTCTTTCAAGTTTTTGGGTGGTTGGTTTTCTGGTTTGTTTTTGAAAAGTTTATTTTGTGATATCTTTGGTGCTGTTTGTCCCCACAGCTCTGCTTTTGGTTTTATGAATCTTTTTAAACCTACTTTGAACAAACCTGTCAGCACATTTCTTTGTTCATGTTTGTTCATCTCCATGTTCCCTTCGGGAGCCAGAAACGTGAAGAATGTCTCAACATCTTTTTTCTATTTGGGAGAAAATTAATTATGTTACTGCCTCCATGTTTCTAACAAGCTGTACTACATTTAACTTTTACCTTGTTATTGCAACCTCCAGCTAGAAATTTAGACATTATTTCTGTTCTGGGTAATGAAGTCTATTTAACACCATACTAGTTAAAATGGTTTCTAAACACAAGCCATTTTCCAGGGCAGATAAAGATTTGGAAGAAAGGGAAGTTCAGTGTGTTAAGCAGTTTGATTTTTCTGTTAGACTGTAATAAAATCATCAGTATGAACGACTGAAAGGTAATGGAAAACTGGGGCCTCAATGTGTACTCTGTGTGTGTTTGTTTCACTCTGTTTATATTTTTGTTGTGGCTGAAATCCTGTCCCGCTGATGGTCACTGGGAATTTTGCCACTGGATTTCACTACTAATTTACAGCACACTCAGACTTTTACATTGTGTTCTTCTGAACACAAACAAAGCCTCTGTGCTTCATGCTGCTCTCTGCGGAGAAGAGAAAGCAGACCTCACCGAGCAGAGCTCATCCATGTGAGCAACCCTGTGGTTTTCACGGAGCTGTGACAGGACTGAATGCATCTAGGTTTATTTTTCATTCATATTTAGAAAGGCTCATTAAGGCCCTGGCAAGATTCTTTGACCGTCACAGTACCCGTGGCTTTTTGAAGCTGTGCTCTTTCTTTGGTGAAATAAATCTGTGTGGTGAAAAATGTACCTGCTCGGTGCTCCTCAGCAATGGGAGGTATCAAGGCTGTTACACTGCCCAGAGATGTGAATGGAGATCACTCAATCCTGCTGGTTAAACCAGCTGTCATACTTTGGAAGGGGACAATTTTTAAAAAAGCATCCAATGGATCTTGAGAAGGGAAAACCGTCTCCCTTGACAGCACTGGTTATACTCATGCAACAATTCTCTGGGAACCAAGAGGTTAGGATCACAGCCCTGGCTATCAGAAACAGGCATCCACATTTTTGTTATGACCCATGCATGAACTTTGAGTTTGAAAACTTGCTCACAGGGTAGAAAGTGCTGGGCGGTGAGCCAGGCAGCCGTGGCGGGGGGGACTGTCAGGAGTGCAGTCTGTCCGTGGTGTGAGGAAAGTGGGACTGGGCTGCATGGCTCTGGGAGCTTTCTGAGAATTAGATTTGGGCAAAAACTCACTAGTTAAATATGTGGAGAAAAATGTCAGATGTATCTCTGAATAAATGAATTCAAAACCAGCAGCTCCTAAAATCAGCCTGATGAGACTTAGAGTTTAACCAGGCCAAAAAACAGCTATAGCCCAAGGTTTCTGTAGCAATGTTATTCCTAACCAGAAGTATTCAAACATCACTTCATTTGAAAATCAAGTTTTGTGTCCTTTGTCTTTAACTCCTGGGTTTTGAGTTTCCAGGTATCCACCATTTTATCTTCTTCAACTATGAAGGCAAAAACTTATCCATTCAAAAGAAAAACTGTGAGTTCTCCTGACAACATAACCCAGGAGTTGCATCTTTGTGAGATGATCTTACAATGCGAAACTTGCAACAGAACTGAGGACTGTGTGTGCAGAGTCAGAGGGTGGCTGCCCTCTTCATTGGATGGGGTTTGATAGAGTAATGGATTTTAAAGATCCTTGCCAGTCATTGACAGTTTGCGCCTGCAGACTGAGACAAGCGGCTCTGCGAGGGACTACGGTACTTTGTTTCCATGAGCAGTGGTTTTGGCCATAGCTGTCCTGAGTGTATTTTTGTGATGCTCGCTTCAACGGTTCTGCTCTTCCTTATATGTCCAGCTCTCTTCTGGTTGACAGTGACTAAATGGCAGACCAGAGAGGCTGTTGAGGAGGCCTCTATTAAGAATGTGATTGAAGTCTAGAATTACAGAGGCCTGCATAGTGTAACACCGGTGTTTCTCATATTTGACAGGCATATATGAGCCCATTGCATGAGTCTTCATTGGTATGCATCCTTGATTAAATTTGCTATTGGGGAGGTGAATTTAATGCCTTTGCAAATGGAGGCCCAAGCAGGAGCATAACGCGGCTCTGAGGGTCTTGTCAGTTCAAATTGATTGCTGAGTCCTGGAATTGGAGCAATGCAGTAGCTGAAAAATTAATCAATTAAAATGGAATATCATTTGGCTCCTAAACAAAATGCCAACAGCCTGATATTCTCAAATCTTCACTGACAAATAAACAATGAGTTTTTCCACTATTAGAAGACGATGTTGCATGCTGCAGGACTGAATGTACGGCAGAGAACAGATCTGAGTGAACAAGGTCTTGTGCAGAAGGACTAATTTTTGTAATCATGGATGCACATGCACCATCACTACTGTTACTACAGAAGGAGTACCAGTACAGTCCCCCAGATAGATCTTGTGGCTTCAGACCTCCGAAATACAAGTGTGCATTGTGAGCTGAAGGTCATTTTTGAACTCCTCTAAGAAATCAGATCATGATTCATCGGCGGCATGAGAAGCTATATTAAGTCACTCTGATAAATGCCAGTTTGGTTGTTGGTTTATAGACAAGTTGCGTTTTCATATTTGGCCTGGCTAACTCCCAGCTGACAGGTCCTTCCAAGAGCCTTTCTGTGTGACGTTCAAAAGCTAACGCGAGGAAGAGCTGTGAGGAGCATTGTGGTAACCTACTTGACTTGTCAAGGCTGCGCCCTGCCCAGGTGTTATTTCCCAGGAAGACAAGCCCTGTGCGGGCTCTGGGGCTGTGGGCCAGCCTCCCGGAGCAGCGTGGTAGCCCAGCTGGCACAAAGGCAGGAGTGTGGCTCCCTGAGGCCAGTCTGCCACCCGGCTTGGTCTGCAGGATGGGCTGTGCTTCCCACCTGCGTGGCACAGCTATTTGTGAGCGACTGTAACAGGATCCAGCTGGTGGTTAACTGTGGTGTGGAGTTGGATAATATTCAAAATCATGACTGTTTGGGCAAGATCCACTAACAGAAACGTGTTGAGGAAAATATCTTTCCTCGCTGGAAGATGGGGAGAAATTCCCACCTCCTGCAGAGCAGCTGGGTTTGTCCCTGGTGGGGGTGTGAAGTGACCCCCTGTCTTTCTGGCTCAGCCGTGCATGTGCACAGTATTTCTGTGCAGTGTGAATGTTGGCTGGGTGCAAAACAACACTGTTTTATTCTTAATCTTCTGATCTCCGTTTAAAGTTCTAACCCTTGAGGATGGATGATTAAAAAGGCACTTCAGCTTCCTTTCTCTAGCCTTAGCAAAAAGCCCTTACAGCATGATCTTGAAGGCAGAGAAGATGAGCCCCAAGCTTAATATAATTAAATATTTTAATGCTTTGGGTGAGCAGTGCCCGCTCCTCAGTGCTAGCTGACTTCTGCTCATCTCTTAGGTAACTAGTTCACTGCTGACTGTGCTAGCAGTTTATGAGGTCTAAAGTTGTTTTCTCCTTCTCTGTGAAAATATCTGTGGCAGCATCTGTCACTCTAGACAGCTGTGATTCACTGGGAGGAAAAGGCTGAATGTAGGTCACTTGAGTTTGAAGGGAATAGATTAGTACGTCAGCATGGGAGGCACATACACACATTGAATCTCTGCAGGTGGCGTAGGTGGGGGAGTGGGCCTAGAGAGATACAATTTATGTGATCGATACGTTTAATGACCACCCTCATTTGAACTGTCTTATTGGCTTCATAGGTGCTGCCAGGTAATAATGAGGGCATCATCTGTCTTCATACAGAATGCTATATGTCAGTCTGTCATGATACAGATATATCTATGAATCTGTAAATCTACAGATAGCTATAAATCAGGGTTCAGGTAATGCCTTAAATGGCCACTGAGCATCTAACACTTAGAAGACAAACAACAAAACATTGTTCCATTTTCTTCCTTGTTTAAATAATTCAAAATCACTTGGAAACCAGGGGCATTCTTTACATATTTAAATGTCTACAAAGACTGGGATATTTCTCCAAAAGAAACAATGAAGCTTCCCATAGTGCCTTTTTTTTTACTCTAAAGGACCTCAAAACATGTTTTTACAAACTCTGTATGTATAACCTTTAGCAGAGCAGTATCCCTACATACAGTAAGTAACCTAGATGGCTTCTGCTAAGGTTTGCTATGTGATACTAAACAGATGTTTGAACGCAGACAACTTCATGTCCATGTGACCATCATTTCTCTTCATTCCCAGAGACACTCTGTCCCCAGATACCCATTGGGATCTCTTTCTTACAAAGCTGCTGTTTTGGTGAGAGTGCCAGCATGAACTGCCTAGTCCCTTCGGTATTCAAAAAGCGTACTGTCATGTCTGTCTCTTATGGCTAGAGAGGTATGCTTGGAAAACAAGTGCTGTTTCAGGGAAAAACAACCCCACAGACCTCACAGTCCTCTCTTGTGCTGGTACTCAGTAATTTTGAAGACCATCCCCTCACTATTTTTCAGGGTTTTCTCCACATTGTTCTTCTTCTGGAGAGAAACATAAAGGTTTCTATCAGCAAAAATGACAGTATTCATGTCACAACAAAATTTGCCAAATAGGGAGCAAATGGCTTTACTCCAAGGTATGAGATGAAGACTGAATGAACATAGAAGCCAGATGTATGTGTGTCTGGACACGTGGGTGTTTATACAATATCAATGTGTGTGAATGTCATAAGTATATTAAAAACAAAATTTGTAATATACTTTTTCAATTTTGCATAATGGACATCTGTGTGCATTAGACTTCAAACTGAGGGAAGAAATAGGCCTTGGCAACTGCTTCACCTCATCTGGGGTCTGGTTTTCTACGGTCCTGAGGAGCCTCATTTCCTCAGAGCTCTTTGGGAGAGACTACCCTTGGGCATCTATCTTTGAAGCCCTTTTGGCTTCTGCTGCTTTGCTTTATTTAATGCTCCTGAAACCAAAAGACTAGAAGGATGCCCCAGGGCATCATGTCCCCTCCCTCCAGTTATGGGCAATGTCTTCCTGCCTCTGGGCAGCTGGGCTAGGAAACTTTGTAGGATCCAGCCCTTGATAACTGCTCAAGGTCTATTCAGGATTACATAGCTGAGTCAAAGATGGACGTATTTTATATAACTCATCTCCTGCTATATGTTATATCTATATATGCTATATCTGTCTTGGCCAGCAGTAGAGCATGATAGATAACTGGTAGTACCGTGCACCTGTCACATGAGAGGTTGTATAATAAATTCCAGCTTCTCAGGTTATCATTCTACAATGAATATACATCAGGACTCTATTCAGAGAGGAATCCAAGTTGGCATGATTTATGCATGAATTGTTAATCTACATGGGTGCAGAGAGGGGTTGGTTCGTGCTGAATCCAGTTACTGCATGTGGAACTGACTTGTTTGTATGCAGTGTGATGCTGAGTTCATATAACCCTCAAGGCAGCAAGTACCCCACACTCTTTAGGGATGCTGTCTGCAAAATGAATGAGACTGATGTGTGCTGTAGTGCTGGTGCTTCTACGCTTTCTGTTACTTTTGGCCACCCTCCAGTTGTGAAGCCATGCTGCTTTGCAGACCTTTGGGACCTAGGCACAGTGATCCAGCTGGGCTTCCTGGAAGCATCTCTTCCCTCATGTAGTCAAGGACGTGCAGGATCAGGATAAAATATCACAAGAAAGATGCTTCTTCACAGAGTCACTAAAAAGATGGCTAAATATGATCATTAGGCAGAGGCTACATGGTTTGCCTCAGAAGTAAGACTGTGAGTTCTTAGAAATGAAAGCAAAGAGTTGGGACTGTGGTAGGACAGACATCACCTTTCCATATGCTGAGAGGCTGGATGAGGGTAGTGGTGTGTGAAGCTATCAGAAAACCACTGCTTGTGACAGAGTTAGTAACTTAATTCCTCTAGGTTTTTTTTTGCTGCTCCCTCTGTAAACTTCCCCCGCACTGTTTTGCTCTCTTGTGTTGCCTAATTTCTTCCCCAAAACTGCCCAAAAGATCAGCTTGTCAAACCGTGGCAAGTCTGCTTGAAAGGTAGTGGCCTTTGTCTATCGACACACTGTTGTGACCTGTCAGTCAGCAACATCCTGTTTCTAAACTCTTCACGCTAACATCCCATGTCTGCTTGTGACAGACAACATAGGCGAGTGTGATGTTCACCTCATCCAGTCTGTAGGCAGGAACATGGAAAACACTGTGCCATCTTCTGTGTCTCTTGGAGGAGGCTCAGCAAGTAGCATCCAAAAATTGATGGGTGTGGGGAGAACGTTGCTGTGGAAACCAAACACAGAAAAATAGTTGCTTCTCCTTTCTTGCCTCATACAGGAGTTCTACCTCTTCAGGCCAGATGCTGGAGGACACTTTCCTCGTCAATAGCTCAACAACTGGCAAAACATTGAGAGAAGAGAAGAACAAAATAGAAAATATTTGGTAGAATCCCATGACTTCCTAGCCATGAGGCAGGGATGGAGAGGAAGGGTTTCTCAGGGTTAAAACGGAAGAGAACAGAGATGCAGTCTTACAAGCTGGCAGAGGAAATGCATTTACAGAGGCAATAAATGCCAGGGGACTGTGAAGAAGAATAGGACAGTGGAGAGGCACCTTGGGCAAGCAGCAGTGCTGGAAAGCAAGCCCCAGCAGACTTTCTCTGCTTCTCACTCCCACCGTCCCTTGGCAACTACAGCTCTGTCCCAGGGCCTGGAGAAACCGGTGAGCTGGCAACGGTGGCCTCTTCTCAGAGACCAGAAAAGAGCCTCTGCTGGGGCCCACCACTGGTCTCTCCAGTGATTGTCCAGTGTTGATGACAGTAGAAAATCTCTTGTGACCTATTAGTTGCTGTGGGAGCTGATCAATTCAAGTAGCTTTACTGCTTCCATTGTGTTACTTCAGTTTGTGCAAGTTACAAACAAAACGTTCAAACCGGTCTCTGAGCTTCTCTGTCAGCACTTGCACTTCTCAAAGAACAGAGTTGGTTCTGTTTAACTGTGGTAAGTATAATTAACATTTCATTACAGAAGTTCCATAAGAGCATGGTTCCTAAACCACATTTAAAATGCTTTACACTGTTAAACGAAGCATGAATAAAATAGGCCTTGTGCTGTAAGGCACAGCCTTTTCTCCTAAACTGTTTTGAGCAATTTTTAAGAGAAGTATACGGACAATTTCATGAAACATAACAAGAGCCATGTGCACACTGGGATTCCTAAACCCACATGGAAATGCAACACACTCTCTAAAACAAATGCTCTTGTCAACAGGCATTCAGGAGCCACTATCTTGCAAGTTCAGTCCATCAGCAGTAGCTTGCTTCCTGGGAATTTCTTGGGAGTTGCAGCAGCTGTCCTGGTTTGGGCTGGCATAGAGTTAATATTCCTTTTTGGGGACTAGATGAGTGCTGTGTTTTGAATTTAGCTTTGGGTTTGGTATGAGAAGAATGCTGATAGCACACTGATGTTTTCAGCTGCTACTGAGATTTCAAGGACTCTCTGACTCTCCGTGTTCTGCCCGTGTGCAAGGGCACAGGAAGCAGGGAGGGAACACAGACAGAGCACCAGACCCAAATTGGCCAATGAAATATTCCATATCATGGAACATCATGCTCACTATATAGAGGAGAAGTGCCACCACTCAGCCACTCTCTCTCCCTTCTCTTCCAGCAATAAGAAGGGACAGAGAGCCAGGCTTGGGGTTCGAGATAGGACTGGGATGGGGAAAAATTCCCCCTTTATGATCACGAGCAAAAGGCAGACTCGTTAGGGGAAGAAAAAAAAGAACATACATGTATTACAGACACTAACAACACATAACAGAGTAGGACAGTGAGAAGCATTGCCACATCTTGAGAACACCTTCCCCCCACCCCTCCCTTCTTCCCGGGCTCAGCTCTGCTCCCGATATCTCTACCTCCTCCCCCAGTGGTGCAGGGGCAGGGAATGGGGAGTGCAGTCAGTGCTGCTGCTTCTTCTATCATCGGTGGGGGGAGATTCCGGAACTTGTTCCCCCTGCTCCATCGTGGTCCCCTCTCACAGGAGACAGTCCTCCACAAACTTTCTCCAACATGAGTTCCTCCCACAGACCACAGCGTTCCCCACACTGCTCCGTCAGGGGTCACTAACTTCCTCCAATTGGATTCTCTCCCACGGCTGCAGCCCTTCCCGAGCTGCTCCGGTGTGGGACTCCCCCACATGCTGCAATCCTCCCAGCGCTGAATTACAGCAATGGGGCTGCCTTTTCCCACAAGACCCTGGCCTTCTTTGGGCACAGCACCTTGACCATCCAGGTGAAAACCACAGCCCATAAATTAACGTCTGCTCCACCGTAGATCTCCATGGGTGGCAGGGGGGGGCCGCCCTGCCGTCTCACCACAGGATACAGGGGGGTCTCTGCTCCGGCACACCTCCCCCCTCCTTTCTTCCTCCGTTCCTCCACTGACCTTGGTGTTCACGCAGCTGCAGCAACTCCTCCTCACAAGTCCCACTGCTCGTCACCACGTCCCTTCTTAAATACGTTATCGCAGAGGCACAGCTGATTGGCTCAGTTTCCAAACAGAGGTGGAGCTGACTTGGAGCTGGGGGAGCTTTGAGAAGCTTCTCACAGGGGGATTCCCCTCCCCTGCCACCAAAAAACCCCACCACTCACTCAACCCAGGACAGCAGCTCTCAGTCCTGCCCTGTCTATGCTCTGTGCCATTTGTAGCCTGTCCATGTGCCAGCATATGGGTTACAGAGCTGAGCAGCACGTGTCTCTCTAGCATCCCCAAGCGCTGCTGTGCTTCCCAGCATCTGATTGCTGGTGTTGGTGCTGTGATGTCCTATCCTTTTTGGGACTTGTCTTCAGGTCACTGGGACAGTGTGTGGAGCAAATGGAGGGAGCCCACAGAGAAGAATTTCACACCACGAGGGCCTCAGCAGCTCCAGTGTGGTTTACAGAGGTGGCTTGGCCCTGACCTTTGCTCTGAGGGAAGAGAATTTGCTCAGCCAGCAAGGTTGTATCTCAATCCTATGGGCTGAAGCTGGCATTAAACCAGTTCAGAGGGGAATCCTTTGCTGGGGGGCAGGGGAGAGGTTGGACCTGCAGGGCTGGTGGGAGGAAAGTGCTGGTAGGGTTGGGGGTCATGTCAGGGGCAGTATGTGAGGCTGTGGCAGCAGGATAAATCAAAGGGGGGCCTTGGAGGGAGGGAAGGTTTGGTGAGGTTTTTACTCCCTGGCTGGCTTTGTGTCCATATTAATCAATTAGACCTTCCTGGTCAGTTAGTCCTTCCAGGGAAAGACACTTACTGGGAATGGCTTGTGATTGATGCTTTTCTGTCCAGGGATTTGACAGAGCTGATACAATCATAAAAATGAGCTTAAAACAAAAGAGAAGCATAGCAGCCCCTAGTTTCTTTTGTTGTACTAATGCTAAACACTTGTAAGAAAGATAGGCAAGAGCTGCCAAGTGTACATCCTGTCACAGAAAACTGCTGTTGGACTAACTTCACAGTAACTGTAAGATGATTTAATTGCACTTACCTTTGAGAGTTTTGCATACCTTACTCTAGTTAAGTAATGATTCCTTATGACCCTTGAAGTATGGTTATCCTTTTTGAATTTGGCCAAGCCTGCTGTTGAAAAAAAAATATCTTGGGACCCTGAAGTCCCCCACTGCTCTGGTTTTAGTGGCTGTTTATATGATGTTGGAGCTGGTGTGCCTGTGGCTGGTGGCAGACAATGACAATGTACAAAGGTGAGTTGCATTGCCTGTAATTGCCTTGCTATTTCACAAGTGATCAGGCCTAGAAGATTATCATTGTGCTTGTTGAGAAGTTTTCATTGATGTGCATGGCATTAATTTATTTCCCTTATTTGCTTGCTTACAAAATTAATTTCACTACTTAAATAGTTTCTGGTCTCTTGAACCATGTCAAAATGCAAAGAATGTGCTTTCAACAGCAGAAGAGTATCTTGGTCCATTCTGCCACAGAAAGGGAAAAGCATATGTGCAAATGAGAAATGGTGAAATGAGGTTAGAAGGTTCACAGTATTTTCTGAAATTTTGGTATGCAAATTGTGTTGGAGGTCTCAGCAATGTTTGGGACAAACCTTAATTTGTGTAAACTACTTTCTTAATCCTGAATCTAGACACTTACATTTCCAGTGCCTATTCATCTTTATTTCTGCTTTCATGCTGCAAATGTTTTTGGTCCATCACAGAGCATCAGTCAGAAGGAACTGAGCTCTTCTGCTCCCATAACTCCTCTCACTTGTAGTTCCAGCCTCAGGCCTGGGGATACAGGGTGTGTAACTACTTAAAGGACTTACTGGTATGAACTGTCCTGTTGACGTGGTAAAAGTCTTGACTCTGCACTCAGCTGTACATACTGTGCCTTTAATATAACTAAAGCTCATATGTGCTGATAGTGACTTCTTCCTGAAGTGAGAGGTGTTAATGTAAAGGGAGGGGAAAGAGGGGGTGGACGTCAGTCCGCCCTCCTCAGAGGGTTTGCCAGGGGACTGACTATTTCATTGAGAACCTGTGCTGCTCCTGTCAGTATGTTTTGAATTAACAGTGATAAATGTCTTGTAGTCAAACATCTATATTTTAGGAAAAGAATCTGATAAATCAAGAGAACCCTTAGAGATAAGATTTATATTCACTTTGCCAGGCTTGTTCATACCTGTCTGGGTTCCACTCAGGATGTTTCCTCTCCCTTTTTGATCCAACTTTGCTGTTGTGTGTTTTTTAATGAGCTGGGGATTTTCTGAGGAGCTGATACCTTGCTGTTTCTTCCATGTTTTGTATCAACACAGACCTGGTGAACTGGAGAGGTCTGTGGTGCCCTTATTGAATTGCATTTATTGTTTTTAGACATTTTTTCTTCCCCATGTGTTGAGAGAATTTTGAATTCTAATCCTGTTCCCCAACGTGTCTGACATTTTTGCTGGATTTCTTATGGATTTGACCAACATGCTCTGTGTCAGTATCCAAGGTACTTATGAAAATACTGAATATCCAGAACAAACCCCTAAGACCCGCTCTCACTATAGCCCCTCTGCTCTGACAGTGACATTCCAACCAGCTTTACCCATTCTGCAGTAGTTTTGTCTAGACTATTATTTCTGATAGCTTGCTAATGACGTTTTACCAGCCCCTACCAAAAACCTTACTGAAGTCATGATGTCTCTCCTGCTTCTCCACACCTTTAAGACTGATTACTCCATCACAGGAGAAAATTAAGTTGGTCTGATATAATGTGGTCTTGGCAAATCTCAGTTGGCTCCTGTTTATTATCTTGTTACCTATTTGGTGCTCATAGATCATTGTTTGATTGTTGATTATCTGTGGATTAGCTGTCTTTCTGGAAGCTGAAACCAGGCCCTCTGAGCTATCGTCCCCTGAATCATCCCTTTTTCCTGTTTGAAGAGAGCATAAGGAGATATTGGCTGAGATAAAAATGAGAAATGTTCTCAAATGACAATTAGTTCCCAGTGCTTTTTTACCGCTTTAAAAATTTTATGTATAAGTAATGTGAGAACTGTGGTATCTAGAGGAATTACCCCTAGTAGTTCAAGTTTAAATGTGCCATGACGTTGAGGGCACTAATGGGCCTTCCTGTCCCTGCCCATTCCCCGGGGCTCCCCGGACCCTGCCCACAGCCCAGAACTCCATGTCAGCCCCCTGGGCCATAACCCAGGACCCCAGGGGCTCTCAGCCCCTGCCCCAGCCTTACTGCAGCTCCCCACAGCCCTGCCCTTCCCCGGGTGGACACACATCATGAACTGGTCCCAGAGAGGCTGCCCAGGGCTGGGGCTGCCCCCGTGTCCCCCTCCTGCTCCACTCCTGGGATGGTCCCTGGCTGCCAGGTCCTGCCCTGAGCCCCCAGCCCTCGCGGTGCCCTGACAAAATGGCTCCTGAAGACTTGTTGCTGCTTTCAGCATTTTGCAAGACGTTCCTGGCAGTATAAACCAAAACCAGATGTTGCTTTTTCCAGGGTTTGGAGACAGAGATAAGTAGCAAAGGCCAAGTGACCTGAAAATATTTAAAGGTGCGTGATAAGCCAGGCTTCTGCTACAAATCAGTGTTGTTTTCTAGGGCAAAAGCAAAAAGAGAAATGGAAGCTGAGCTTGACAAAACATCTAGGATGAATTAAAGGAGGCAAACACCTCAATTTTTAGATGTACAAAAGTAATTACTTTTCTTGTCATACTGAAAATATAATTTCAAGAGAGAGCCTAGGGAGCAGGCTGTGAAACCAGCCGTACAGAAAACTGAGCGGTTGCTGTAGCCCAGCGACGTGCCCAGCCAGTGCTGTGGGGGGTGGCAGGGGGACAGGGAGCCGGTGGCATCCCTTGCAGAGGGGTGACATAGCAGGGCAGGATGCTCACTGCCTGGAAGGATGGCATGGAGGCAGATTTATCTGCCCAAGCGTGCCTATGTGAGTCCTGCATTAGGGTAAATCTATGTGCAGCAGCTTAGTTGAGCAGTGGTTGAATAAGTTTATGTTGAAAATAGTGGCGCTTTTCTTTTTTTCTCCCCTATGAAAAGAAATATCCCTCATTTTTCTACAAGAAGAAAGGGAAATCTGAGCATCAGGATGACCTTGGCTGTATTAAGCATAATTTTATGGGCCACCTTCTTTTTTTTCTTTCCTCACTACATCCATCTTCTCTCTAAATGGAATAGTCCTAACCTTTAACTTCTCTTCATTCTCCAGTAACTTCCTTCCAGAGACTGGTTTGACAAAACTTGTTCTCTGGCCAAGGCTGCTGAGCTGCCACTGATTTTGTATAATGTGTTCACGACGGATTCAGTTTTCCCTGTCCCATTTCCAGTGCACTTGATTTACTATATTTCCCATCTCTGTGGACCGAGTGCAGGGTTTCATTGAGTTGTCCACGGGCACGCTCAGATCTGTAACACGAGTGGTCATGGTTTGTTTGAAACCTGTCAATGTGCATGAGTAGTTCAATTTGTTTCTTCTAATGTTCATTACCTTGCACTTGTCTACGCTGATTTTCATTTGCCATCATGTTACCCAGCTGTCTAGTTCTCCTAGGGCTGCCTGCACTGCAGGGTAGCCTTTCTCAGAGAAAGGTGCAGAGATATTTATTCTTCTAAGCACTCTCCTGCTTGAGGAATTTGCAGTGGTGCTGGGTTTCTTGAATTGTTTCCCAACCCATTAAAAGGGCTCAACCAAAACGCTGTGTGATATTGGGGACCAGTCGCTGGTCTCTTGCTCTCTAAGACTCCTAGAAGGAGCCTTATAGCAGAGAGAGAAACGTGATCAAGCCTAGTATTAGCAGGTATCCAAACTTGAGAAGGATCTCAAGAATGGGGGATTGTCCAGTGCTTTGGATGGGATATGGATGTGCCAGAATTTGCTTTTTCAAGCAGTTTTAGGGAGCTCCAGCACTCCTTTGTACAAGACTGGGAGCATTTATAGCTTCTTCATGATTTGGTCTATAAAATGACTACCATAGACAATT